TTCATAAGAGACATCTGAGTGGAGACCTTATAGCAGCCTATGAGTTTATTGAGGGAGGACAACAGAGAACTGAAGATGCAGTATTTACCAGAGCATCCCTAGGAGTAACTAGGACTAATGAGTGCAAACTAGTGGAGAGTAGATTCAGGTTGGACATTAGGAAGGAATTTTTTACAGTAAGAGTGGCCAGAATCTGGAATGGGCTTCCAAGAGAGGTGGTACTATCACCTAACTGGGAGGTCTTCAAGAGGAGGCTTGATAGACGTCTGGCTGGGGCCATCTGACCTCGTTCCTGTTTCCTGCCAGAGGCAGGGGTTCTGACACAATGATCCTTTGTGGTCCCTTCCGACTCTACAATCTATGAATCTATGAATCAAAGCACAAGTGTAGGCCTGCCCACTGTGTCTTCCCACCCAAGTTTCCATTTCTAAACCAGAGTTTGGCCATGATTCAACATGAAGTTAAGGGAGTGGAAGGCCCATGCTGGGCTATTTTCCTGTCACTTGTTTCTAAATGATTAGAGGATCAAGCACCAGGATGAGTTATGGACTCACAATTACATTGATTCAATCAAAGCAGAAAGGGAAGATTGAAACCCCCACAGAAAGTAGGCAGAAAGGAAAGATCACCCGTAGCACTGACAAATCCACTCCATGACTGTTGGGCCTGGTTATTCAGAGTGCATTCTGGGACTGTTTGTTTTTTAATTGCTGCCAGTTCCCAGGGAGCAAAAGTGATGATGCACCCAATGCCCTTCTGAGATCTGAAACCTTATTCCAGAAAACATAAGCAGATGAGTGAGAGGAAAGACTAACCAGTGTGTTCATATTGTAATGAAGGTGAGAGGAAAGAAAGTAGTAGACCTCTGTAACAATGTGATGCTCCACCATAGTTCATTTCACTTTCAATACATTAGTTAAATTCACAATTCAAAGTGTGAAAAAGGAAAAAAATCTCAGCAGTCAGAGCCAGATACTGTGTATCCAGCAACTGCCCAAGACAAAGTTTCATACTGTGTGTGAGGTTTAGTCTCTTGTTTCTGTCTCTGAGTCACTGACGTGATGCTATGTTCTCTCTAATGTGTCTTTCCTCTGGGAGGAAGGTGTGGCTCATAAAGGACAGAGTATCCAGGTAAAGAAGGAGATAAGTAGATACTGTTACCTTTTTTCTCTCAGGGCAGGGGCAGCTTGATGGGAAAGATCTTGGGATAGGAGGAGGTCCAGTTTTGCTAGGGTTATGCAGTTTTTTTTTCTTAATGTTTTTGGTTTGTTGGAATTCTTAATTGCTTCCATGTCCTGATGAGAATCAAGTTGCTCAGATGTTACTGTCTTTAAAATTACAAGAATACGTAGAAACTAATATAATCCAAGAAAGTAAAACCTTCCATTAGCAAAGATCCAGGCACTGTGCAGCAAAAGGCCCATTACCTCTATGTATACCACCAAATCAGGACCCTCCCTTACAATATTGCTACCCTCAAAGTGCAGAAAGGGCTTCAGTCATGTTCCAGATACTTTAACCCTGTCCAAGCTGAATGAAGTGTTAGACATGTCTAAAATTGTGATTGCTACTGGGCCTGTGACTTGTTTTCATTTATACCATCACTGGGACCCAGTAATACAAGTAATAACAACATTATTATATTAAAATTATTCTTTCCTGTGGTCTTCTGACTGCATAAGTCTTTCTCAAAAGCTTTTATCTTTCAAGTCTGTTTTTTTCTGTGACTTGCACAATATCCAGCACAGTTGGCCCTTAACAAATGATGTAAGAATGGTAATTGCCAAGGTACCCGGTGAGTTTCCAAAGGGAAAATCAGGACAGTGTTAGTGTTTGATTAAAAAAAAGCCCCTCATGTTTGTTTAAAGATTAATTAAGCCCTTCCGCACTAGTTAGGTGAAAAGTCCATAGGTTACTGTGCTTAATCTCTTCTGGGCCACTTTCCAGTTAACACCTCAGGAAGGTAAGCAGGATAGGAAAAGGGAGTTTCACATCTTAGCTGGAGACAACTTTCTGCAAAGTTAGCACAACAGGGTCACATAACAGGATCACAGTTTGTTCTTTATTTTGGGACCGTTTCATAGTCCACTGAAGTCAGTGGGAATTTTTCCATCTCATCCCTATCTTTTCAATGGAAAGGTAAGAATCACAATTTTTCAATTCTGAGGAAACCAGTAGAGGTTAAGATGAAAGTAATATAATCAGCACTTTTTGCTATCTATTATTTAACTTTACGGGTTCCTCTTTCCTTTGTAGTCTCTAGGAAGCTGTGAATACTGCTGAACACACTTCCCTTTCCTGTATAGAGTAGGAAGTCTTTTTCCCTGTTAGGTTCCTGAGGGATCTAGTTTAACAGGTCCTCAGGATTTCATGAGTCTTATGTCCTGATGACAGATGCTAGTTTGAATGATTATGAATTGATTCAGCACTGAAAAGGATGCTGTGTTTTGTTTTGTTTTTTGCAGAAGATGATTGAAAATGATGTGCAGAGGCTGACAGATACAATAATGTAGTGGGAGCTAAGTGTTTTCCATGGGTGGGTATAGTTTTTTCCCATCTAATCATTTGGTATCTCCAATATGTTATGTTTGTTATATAGGGTGTAAGTGACTGATGCAACATTATTATATTCCAGTAGGAAGAAAAATATTGTTATCTATACATAGGTGTCCCTTGTAGCAAGAGTATCTTTTGAGAAGTGCACACACAGATATTGTATGATTTGTATGTATAAGTTGGTGGTAGGGATGACAATTCTGAATGGCTATAGGAGTCACATGTTAAGGACCCACAAAGGTGCAGTCCAAAGTAGTGATAGCTTAGGTCTGTTTTCTCCTCCATTTCTGCACGTTGTAAAGTACCAGTTATCAGTTCAGAGACCAGAGAATCCTAATGGTCTCTGAAGTGATTTTGCAACTTGAATTTGAGCTAGACTTCATCTTGTATTTCTTGAATTTGCTTTAGCTACAGTCTAAATGCACATTTTTCCTTGAGCTCTAATATGGAGCTGCAACTTCTTGTGGATGTTTCTAACACTTTTCAATTTATGTAGTACACATCTTGGTTACTGTAAAGCCCTTTTTGGACCTCACCAGACATGTATTATTAGTGTTGTTGTTGTTGTTATTTAGGTGTAGGTGACACAAACTTCACAAATCAACAGGCTTGATTAACAGGTCTGGACAAACATGGTTCCCTTGTAGTAGTGTGGCAGTTGACTCCATGAATCAATATACCTTACTTCTTCCCTCCCTACTTCTGCCTGGCATAGACCATAGTTTCTCAACCTGTGGTATGCGTACCCCTGGCAGTACGCAAGACACAGGCAAGGGGTACATGGGTACCCCACACTATCTCTTTCTCACCCTTTTTTCCTCTCTCTCTGTCTCCCCATCTTCCTCGTTCTCTTGCCCCTTCCTGCTCTCAAAACTATGGCAAAAAAATTGGAATAAAAAAAATTGGAATAAACTCCCCAATAATAATTTGGCATGCCATGCTTTGTGCAGCACTGGGTTCAGCCTTCCTAGCTTTGGCCAACATCACTTCTAGCCCAGGTACATACTTCAGTTGTGCACCCCTGGTGTAAAAGGTGGCAACCCTACTCACACCAGATCAGACATCTGTCATATCACGGCCTTATATACACAGCCCTTCTTCCAACACATTAGTCTGTAAATATAAAATCCCTGGGAAAACTGAGTGTTGGGGTACTCATTAACATTTTCAGCAGTTAGGGGGTACTTGCTACTTAAAAGTTTGAGAGACACTGGCTTAAATTATAAACAGAGATTGTTTTTGAGAACAACCCTAGAAAGTGGTCTTGTGAAGGTCAGATAGCTCTGTGTGGGAACACTAACTGAAGCCCAAACTGACACCACAAAATTATATCCTATGTATCTGTTTATCACTCAAACAAGGAATAAAACCAATAAAAAGATTGTCTAGGAAACCTACATTTAAGAACCTGATAAATTGTTATCCAGTGATATGTCAGAAGCTTTCTGCAAGCTTCTGTGTGTGACCAGACTGTTCTTCACATATAGGCCTAGGACAGTGATTCTCAGTCAGGGTGCCAGGTATCCTCGGGTGCCTTAGGATCCTTTCAAGGGTGTCATGGGGCACCACACAAGGTTAGCACTGTTAGATATGCAAACACAATCCACAAAATAAACCCAGAGATTTCAACTAGGAATCCAAAGTGTTAAAATCATTCTGCCCGTTGTGGTCTTTCTCAGTTCTTTGCAATGGAAGAACAGCTCTCTCTCTCTCCTATTTTTCTGTAGTTATAAAAAGCAAGGGAAAAGTGGCAGCTGGTATTTTCCAAGAGATGCCTTGAGGCTATCAAGGTTGAGAACCACCAGCTTAGAAAACATGTTTGATAACAGGCTGCTTTGCTGGCCTCCTTTTCCTGTCGAGATTTGGGGCTGTCTGGGTGAGTGTTATAGTAGCACGGACAAAACCTTGCTACTTTCTCTTCAACTTCTCTCCCTAACAGAGCTGCCACGGGGGTGCTTGTCAGCGCAGCTGCCTCAGTGACGCTGCAGAGTTAAGACTCCACTTTTTAAGGGACGACTTCTTGTCTTCAGCAAGAGTCAGAGCCTTCTGGTGCCCGGCATGGTCCCTCTTCACAGTCCTGCTAAGAGTCGCACAGATGGTGGGCACCTCGCTCCCTGCTGAGGCGAGGGGCTGACGTAACCCCCCTGGGCTTCCAGCTTGGCTGCTTAAATGAATCCTTGCTCACGTGAGCCCAAAGCACTGGCTGCAAAACTGGCTCGCGCATGACAGTCTTAGGTAGAGGTTTGGATGTACAGTTGGGATAGGGCTGATCTTGCCTCAGGCGCGGGGAGCTGGACGAGATGACCTGGAGGCCCCTTCCAGCCCGGCTTCTCGGACTGTGAAGGAGCGGGCCTGGGCCGTGCAGGGAGGCCCTTGGCGGAGGGCGGCGCTGCAGCAGGCGGAGGCGCGTCGGGGCCTGTTTCCTGCGCAGCCTCACACTGCAGCCCGGGCCCCCGGCGGGCAGGGAGGGCGCGCTGCAGCCGGTCGGGCGCTGCGAGGAGCGGAGGCCGCGGGAGCCCAGGTGAGGGCCGGGGGGAGGGTGGTTTCCCGCCCAGGGTGCCAGGGCCCGGGGCCGGTGGATGCGGCGTGGTTGGGGTGCCGTCACTGCCTCTCGTGCGGTCCTCGGGCAGCGCCCCGGGGTGCCAGGGGTCCCTTTCCAGGCTGCGCCGGCGCCGCGCACCCGATAAGCCCAGAGATGCCCCTGGGGCCCACAGCTCTGTCATGCTTCCGGCCTCCAAAAAAGCGAGTGAAAGCCAAGAGCTGGCACTTTTCAAGGGGGCTGCAAAGGTCGTGAGGCGCTGGCCCTGGGAAGCGTGTGGACAGGTGGGGCCAGGCCGGGCCATTCCTTCCGTGGAGTTGAGTTGGTGCCAGCCAGCCTGGCCCTTGGATGCCGGCACTGGAATAGCCTCCAGGGCTGTGGGTAGGGGTGTCCATCATAGAGGACCGTCTGGTTATCCTCTGTCCTCTATTGGTACAAAACCAGATGCCTTTATGTCCTCTGTTTTTTCTCTTGAAGAGAAAAAGAGAGGACATGAAGGCATACGGTTCCGTGTCGATAGCAGACAGAGTAGCAGAAAGCTGGAAAGTCCTCTATGACGGCCACCCCAGCTGCAGGCGAGGATGGGCAGATGGCAGCAAGGCTGTGCAGGCGTGCTGGATCGGCCAGGCACTGCCAGAGCTATGTCAAGCCCTGTCTGGGAAAGGTAGAGGGTGTGCCAAGCCAGCTCGGGGATGCTATATGGGGAAGCTTGCTTGTTACCCACCTAACACCATTTGGTGCTAGAGAGTTGTTGGTGACATTCATCCACAAATTAAAAATAAAACAGCCTGTTGTCACAGGATCAGCTGGTCTTAGAGTTTCCATGGAGGGTACTTGGGATTTGCTGCTGATGTTTTCTGCTTTGTACACTTCTAGACTAGATCAAGGAGGAAGGCTGAGTAGGAGGCTCTCCACTTTGGACTGAGAGGATCACTTTGAAAATTTAGTTCAGAGCGTTACAATGTGGGGTCAAATTAATTCTGTCCCAACATCTCTTTGTAAATGATCTGGAAAACCATGAAGTCTCCCAGTATTTGCTGTATGCCTGTCACTACAGCATCTAGAAGCATGATTGAAGAGTCCAGGGGAGTTGATTGCATGTGTTCGGAAGCTATTTTTCAGTGTTTGACGAAGCCCTGTTCTAATTAAGCCACAAAAGCACTCGGCCTTTTCCCTAGCTGAGCCTGAACAGGGATATCATGAAGTAGCCAGGGCTGCTGCAAAGACTGGTGTTGCATTTTAAAGTTGCACAAATGTGCCTTGTTTGGATTAGTACATTTTAAACTCAGTTATTTTGTAAAAACAGATCTGCTAGAACAGATACCCCAGTGCTTTAAGAGCCA